GTTATAGGTTCTTATTTCTTTTTCATCAAAAAAGAGTCTGGAACAAAAGAAATCATTCTTATGGTGATTTTATTATTACTTTGTCCGGTGCTTGGCTATTACTGATACAACAGATATAAAAAGGCTTGTCAAAAAATAGAGCAGTTAGAAAAAGAACTTTATTTGTTGAAAAAAGGGTTAAAAGAAGGGCAGAATTTAGGCTAACTTTTTCTGATAAAATCAGTAAGCAATTGTAATTATTATTAAAATTCAGATAATTGACATAATTTTTTTTGTTTTCTTTACAAGGCGAGAATTGGAAAAGGCAAAAACAAGGCTATATAGTTGTTTTTTATTATATTTATAATAAACTAACTCTTCACAAGAACTTTAAGGAGGGTTTTTAAGCAAAAATGAAAATAATTTCTTTCTTTTGAAACTTTCTAGTAAATATTTAGCAGGCTTAACCTGTTTTAAGTAATTGTCGATTACCATTTTTGTTGAATATTCAAAGCAACCGATAGGCTACTTGGTAGGTAATCGACATTTTCCAACACCTTTTACCTACCGATTGATTTCAATAGACAACTATTATATTTCTTTCAGCAGAACTGGCATCGGCTGGTAGAAATTGGTCATTTTGAGATAACCAGCGTCTAACCAGCTCTATTCAAAGAGTAATATATTATAATTTTACACTTTTACTTATATATTTATTTTTTTAAGTATTTAATGACCGATATTAAAAGAGAATAAAAGAACCAATCGAAGTTCAAATTAAAATATCCTCCTTATATTTCTGTCATCTAGTTTTTTTAGTGGTGAGTGGTTCCTCGTCCATTTTAGTTATTTTCGTTGTCCTCACCTAAATCTTTGCGGCGTTTTTTAATGGCCTCATGGATTTCATGCCACCCTCCTTTTTGGGGAGGTTTTTGCTTATTAAATTGCTGGTGCGGTGGTTTTTTTATTCCATCTTTTGTTGGTGGAGGTGGGGGAGTTGGTATTCCTCCTTTAATTGGTGCATGTCCGCTTTTTTCACAGTTTATTATTCTATCCTGTAATTTAATAACTAAATCCTTTAACTCTCCTTTGTCTTTTCTTACTTCTTCTAATTTCTCTTTTAAGTCGTCTATCTGCTTCTGTTCGGCTCCGTTCTTTTTCTCTAATTCCTTAATGCGTTCCTCATTATGATAGTGCTTTTTTTCATGTTCTTGGTCGTTTTTCTCTAATACTACACTCTTTTTATCGGTTTTTAGTTTATAGCCGTAAAACATGGCTGAAAGTCCTAATGCTACGGCAGTAATTCCTAATGTGCAGCCTATATCCATATTTACTACTATTCATTCTTCAACTTACTAGCCAATCCGCTTTCGGAGAATTTCTCTAAAATCTTGTTTTTAAAGATTTCTTTTTGTTTATCGTTAGCCAGTAGATATTTATCATATAAAAAGTCTTGGAGTTTAAGGAGAACAAAGTCAGCGGCATCTACGGCTCAATCAGTTCCTTTTTCTACTAAATATTCTAAGGCTTTACCGGCTAATTCGATGGCCAAGGGTTTGATTCAACTAATCAGCATATCCATTCAAATACTTTTGGCTCCTACTTCATCACTTTCGGCTTTTGGTGCTATTTCCTTTTCCAGAAAATCAATTACTTTTTGTTCTGCTTGTAAATTAGTTAGATTAGCAGATTTTTCAGTGGCGGGAATTGTTTCTTGTTTATTTATTACTAATTTAAAAGCCTGCTCTCAGGTTTCGGCTTTGGCTTTTCAGATTTCAGTTTGAAGGTCAGTCATATATAAGATAATTTTACAATACTTAGTTAAAAAAATTTAATAAAAAGGGCTAGGTAGCTCAGTCGGTAAGAGCGTCTGACCGAAGATCAGAAGGTCGGTGGTTCGACTCCACCTCTAGTCACCATGGTTGAGTAGTTCAGTGATAGAACACTCCCCTGATAAGGGAGAGGTCAATGGTTTGATTCCATTCTCAACTACCATAAAAGGTCCGTTGGTGAAGTGGATAACACACATCCCTTTCAAGGATGCATGGCGGGTTCAATTCCCGCACGGATCACCATTTTTCGGGTGTAGCCAAGCGGCAAGGCACAGGAATTTGGCTCCTGGATCGTTAGTTCAATTCTAGCCACCCGAGCCAATGTCCGAGTAGCCCAACGGAAGAGGCAAAGGACTTAAGCTCCTTCAAGTGTAGGTTCGAATCCTACTTCGGATACCAATAAGTTTATGTTTTTTTATAATTAGCATAATGTTTTTTTTCTTCTAAATTTCCTAAACCCTTGTATTTTTTCTAATTCTTTGACTTCCGGCAAAGTTCATAAAAAAATTTCTACATCTTTAGTCAATTTTCTATGCTCCTCTCCATGGTCGTAACCAAAAAAGAGATTGAAGTTAGCTAATAAACAATGGGCTAACTCGTGAGCGATTGTGTTAATTAGTTTCTTTAAACCGAAATGTTTTTCAAAATCAGGAACATCAGTTTTTATCCCAGTTAGATAATATACAAAGAGGATATTCAGATGGATTTCTTTGGTATAGAAGCAAAACATCTTCAATCAAGAAATCTACGAAGAATTACAAGAAACTAATGATATTCTTTTTGCCCAACAACGCAAATTAAACTTAGTCTCTCAGCAAATGGAAGATATTCAGGAAGAAGTTCACTTGAGAATGGATAAACTTTCCACCCAACTAGAACAAAGAACCAGCCAAACCCTCAATATCGCTCAACAATCCCATCAACGAGTAGATAAATTAATCCAAGAAGTCCAAAACATTCGCCAAGAAATAGACCACTTAGAAGACCAAGTTCAAAAAAATAAGGAAGAAATAGAAAAAGTTCGTCAAGAAGCCAAACGGGAAAATGAACGCTTAGAAAATATTATTAAAATCCAGCAATTATTAGATACTTCAGCCGAGGATGCTAAAATAGATAAAATCCAAAAGTCCCTCGAACTCAAAGCCGAAGAGGCTAAATTATTAGCCACCCTCAATCTCTTAAAAGAAACTAAGCAATTAGTCCGCTTAAATCAAGACCAAGAATGATTAGTAGGGATTACCAAAGGCACTGAAACCGAATTAAAAGGATCCGAAGGTCTACCCTTAGACCCCAATTCCTCCTGAGCCAAAGAATTTACTCCTGAACAATTAAAAGGATGAGGCTGGTCTACTCGTTTAAAAGGAGAACATGAAACGGCTCCTTTACTTTCTGAAGAAGCCAACAAAAAAGAAACTCAAGCCGAAGCACGACAAGCCGAAGAGCAAGAAGGAGAAGAAGAAATTCCTCTTTCTGAACAATCTCAGCAAGTTTTAGAAGAAATAAATACTGCTCAAAGAAAAATACTTGAACAACTCCAAGCCGTCCAAGCCGAAATTAAAAAGGAGTTAGATACGGTCGAAAATGCTCCTCCGTCGGCTCCTCCTCCCCCCAAGCCCTCCACCGCTTACCATCTGCAAGTCATCTCCGCCGAAAGTAAAGTCAAAATTAAACAAAAAGCCTTCGAACGGCAAAAGCAAGCCGAAAAAGAAGCTCAACAAAAGGCTCAAACTCAACCCACTAAAAAAAATAAGGAATTACTCCAAGAAGCCCAGGAAGATACCAAACAAGCCGAAAAAGAATTGAAGCAAGCTCAGGAAGAATTGCAATCTCTCCAAGTAAAACAAGACTTTGCCGAGCAAATGGAAAAGTTAGAAGCAGAAACCACCGAAGACAAACAGCAAGAAATCCTCCAACAGTGACAACAAATTCAGGCTCTTTCTCAGCAGGCCTTACAGGAAGATAAAAAAGCAGATGAGCCACCGGAAGAAACCAAAGAGGAAGAATTAGATAAAAAACTGGAAGAACTAACTCAACAATTAAATCAGCAAGAAGTGGCTCAAGCCGCCAGCAAAAAATCAAT